TCCTCACTGTATAAAGTCTTGGGCACAGAATACCCAACAAATTGAGCGAACCCCATCTGAGAATTCAAATTTACCCGAACGTTAAAATGACTCTGACTGGAATTCCCTTCTTTTGTATAACTATACCAAAACGTCTAAACATAGGATTTCCAACATAATCTGGGTTATTTTTCACATGGGAGAGTCAAATGAATACAAAAATGTTGAGGCTTAAAAGGTATTCACATAGGTGTATCAGTAAGATATATAACGACCATATTATTATGCATCACCCTGTACAGTCGATATAAGTAGTAACTAATGATGGAAGTTTATATGACTATTTGAAGAATCTTACTGATAAACAAGTTATAATTCTGTTCTGTCATTCTAACTTATTCAGAAATCAACAACCTATACTAAAAATAGTATATCAGCATTTATAATATACACGTTTCTTCCAATGAAATTCTTCGTTTGATCATCATCAGTAGGTATATAACCTAGGTATAACCACAGAGATTACTCAAGCATCAGCCAAAACCCGAAGTAGCAAATAAATAATGTTGAATGCCGCTAGGTATTTGATGAATCATTCACAATAAACCTCAATAAAAACAAGGTTGAATTGATAACTGCATATTTCGTTATGAGATAAATCTCGATTTCATCAGAATATTAGTGACACTTTCTGAAGATACAAAATACTCATTTCAGTCATCGTTGTCTGCTGCTTTAATAATGTTGAAAAAAGTACTTACCAAGTTTGAATTCTTCGAGGATATGAAAAGCAATCATAAACTGCGTTCAAATTTTCCTAACCTATTTTGAAAAAAACAAAACGAACTTCTTCATCCTTGTTCGCCTTGTAATAAATCTGTCAAATCAGTCTGGAGTAGAATTCACCCACCTATTTTGTGGAGTTACAAGAGTTAACTCGACGTCAAAAACTCCAGTAATTGCGAAAATCATGAACCAATAGATGGCTCTATTGAACGTCAAATCAACGTCAAATTTCCAACTGAGTATGAACAACAAAAACATTGCCGTATGCACTCATTGCAGATTGGTTATTTCCAAATCATTTTGCAAAATAATGAATAATAAGTTGACTTCTTGAAATACGTACAAGGTTTCCAGTATGGAAAAAATTACTTTTTGTGCAGAGAAATTTCCATTTTGATGTGGACAATGGTGGTATTCATCATTGATATCACACTACAACCCCACAGTTTTCGAACATCTGGAATGTCGGAATGGTCCATTCAACACTTGCACGGACTGGAATGGAACCATACAAGCAATCAGCTATTACAACAATATTTTTTTTTTTTTTTTTATCGATTGGAGCGCACGAAAGGGAATCCCTATAATGTTCAAATAATATGGTATAGGTATGAAGAAATAATCGAATTCATCAAGAAATATCACTGGCTTTTATGAAGGAGATGGAATTCTAGTCAAGGGGTTGGAAAAGAAGATATGGTTGGAGAGGCTGCTCAGAATGAACAATATCGTCGATTTACATAAACAAGGATCTCCAGCAATTGAGGACTTGAAGTTATTCTCAAGATCGAATCATTGCAACCAACATTTATACAATAATTCTAATTGTGCTTCAGAAAATGTATATTATATTATTATAAGGTAGGTACTGGTTTCTTCATTGTAAACAATAAAAGTTCATGCAATAATTCGAGTTTTTTCATCAGGGAGAAATGAGGTTCTGGAATATGCACTTCAACAAATAAATTATTTTCGAATAAAACACATTTACGAAATTCAAAACAATGGTCGCCATATTTGTTGTTAATACTCGCAAGACTTGTACAGTTAGCCACCATCAGAGGCCGCACACTTCGTGATTTTCGCGAATTACCAAACGACAGCCACAGAGTAGAATATACACAATTTAACATATTTCAAACGCAAATGATTGAATTCTACTCCACAGAGTACGTATCCAAACGCACCCCAAGGTGAATTCGACTTTCGACATCAAGGGTGACCTGTCATTACAATCTGACAATAAAAAAATAACTAGTGACAGCATCACATCTCTCAACATATGCATGATAACATTCACAGTATCTTTTTTGCTTGCATTCTGGCTAGAAAAACCACAGATCAACAAGAAGAAAACTCAGAATGATAAAGCAACTAACGTTCGCTATAAAAACGATAAACCCATTCTAACAGTTGATGCTACTCCAGAAGTCGTTTTTAATGCTACCAATCTGAAAGGAGCAGCCCACATCCAATATGAATTGATACCAACCAAGTTGAAATTTGAGCTAGATGTTATATGCTGGGGTCCAATCGCAAAAATCATATCATCGGATGGAATTTTAACCTTGAAAACCATTGTTAATGATGGGATCGCATGGGTTCCTATTTGCGTAGAACACTATTTGGATAATTTATCGCTTACCGATATCAAAACTCTGTACGAACATATCGTTGAATTCAACCTGTATGATATTACAGAAAAAGCTGCCACCCTTGTGAAAACAGACAGATTCATGTTCAGTGCTGAAGATAATGGAAGGTCCAATACATTTATGGATATCAATGACTTGAACGAAGACAAATCTAAGATACCTTTGAAGAATTTTATCAAAAACATAATAATGAAATGTGCAAATATTCCCAGAAATGATATAGTTTCCTGGCTCCATATACCAGATGATTATAATATTTTCTATGAAACCATCGATACAATCTCTGCAGGTCAGCAAGTGATTTGCAAGGATTTCGTATCACCATTTGCACTTCCACGAGGGCAGAGTCTGAAAGTGAGAATGGATCTTGAAGGTATTAAGAATCTCCAGGACATTGCTGCAAAGGAAAGTAGAAAGAAAAATACCAAAGCAACAACAGACAAGTCCAAAAGGAAGGGACTTGATTCAGCGAATATACGAATACAAGTGCCTGCAGAAGTTTTTTTCACTGACCCTCACATGTCAATATATGGAAAACAGAACATCACTGGTTCATTGAAGCACGCTTTCGTATTTTTGTCTTCAAGTCAGCTCCTAACTAGGGCTCAAAAGCTGGTACTCAATCCCCTCGTCATCAAAATTAAGAAACTAAGAAATCTTCCTGTGGATAGATTAACGAGTCTAGGAGTTAAATCTGTCTATGCCTCGTACAGCATCCCATACTTTGCAGATTTCAAGTCGATTCAAAAACCTATTGGGGCGAAAATAATTTTCAACGAATCACATATCTATTTCACAGATAGCATACCAAAGATGAAAATCATTGAATTCATGCAGACACAAAAGTTTTTTGTAGAGATATATGGTGAGATCCAGAGAGATATTGATGAGGATAAACCCAAATGTAGTCTATTCGGCCAAGAGGCAGACGATAAGTATATCAGTAGAATAGGTCCAAGTTTTCAGCATTTCGATCCAAACCAGAAAAAATATAGATCACCGGTGCTTTTAGCAGTAGCCAATTACGATATAAGTTCACTGATGGAAAACATTTGGGATTTCAGGGAAATTGGACAGTGTCACGAGCCAAATACGACTATTTCCAAGAAACCAACTTTTTATCAACACTCTACTGACCCTTTGGACATGATGACGGTGTGTGACATTAATTTGAGAACGATCGAACCTAGTCTACTCAGAGAAGCGGAGCTCATAGAGTTGGGAACAACTTTGGAAGTGGAAGTGTATCTTATGGCACCACAGGCTGCTAGTCTAATTCTCCATCAGGTGCCAAATACATTCAAGAGACTGTTCATGATTTTGAACTACGAGCATATAGCTAAAAGCATTTACAATGACATAATGACCCACAACAAGGTCTGTTTTGCTAAAATAAGAAACGCAGTGAAGGAATCCGAGACCAAATATTTGACTGATATTCTAACTGGCTTTCTCATCGATAATGGCAACAACTTCTGCTTCTACTTGGAAGGGTCTTCCATCGGCTTCATACTGAATATCTGGCACTTAGTAGATAATACAGATTCTCAAGTCGGGAAAATATTCTTCAATACCGATAACGCCTTTGAACAGAGACTCTACAACGACTTTTTTGACCAAGGGCTCTTCGTCATCACTTTGAAAATACCCTTGCAGGACATATTTTCGAAAACGCTAATATATTGCAGGAAAAAAATGCCTCACCCATGTCTGGAGGCACTGAAAAAATTATGTCTGCTCTTCAATTCTTCTCAATATAGATCTATTTTGCAGCAGAATTTGTTACCGACTGCTGAAGAATTGTTGAGTTTGGATTTGGAGTGGGGGGTTCCGTTGAGGTGGAGAGTAAAGGAAGATAGATGAATTATCTTGGTGTCATGATTACTTCATTATTTTACTGAAATATATTCTATCAATCTCGAGAGTTGAGTGATTTTTGGTTAAGATGATGATTCGAAGAATTGAATGGGCTGATAAACATTATATCAAATTATAGTCCTGTCTCAGAATTTAGAATGAAAATATCATTCATCATTCATTCATCTAGATTCTAGAGACATATGAGAGACATTTTCCTGTAGAAATTACGATAAAACTTCGTATTTGAGTATTTTATGTCTTCCTTCATTTAATGACTGATTGACTGATTCATCAACCCTTCAAATTCTGGTACAGGGACTACAGGGTGAATCGAAAAAGCAAACATTTCGAACCAAACAATTGAATTAAATCGTTTTAAGGTTGCAATTCATCGATGCCCCAATCGAATAATAGAATATGTACCCACATTTTTGAGAAGAATTGCCTAATGGCCACTTTCAAATTTGGGTCCTTTCAGCAAACAAAAGTAGACCTAGATGAATATGGTTCATTCCTCTCTCCAAATTCAGAAATACCTTGCATGAATGACACCGAAGATGTAAGATATACTTCATACAAGTGCACAATAGAACATTGTGGAACTAGTTACAGACACGCTTGGCTTCCGTCCAATTGACTGAACAAGATCAATTTCCGATATCTTGTTACTTCTTGTTTGGACTCATGAATTCAATTTCACTTTGTTTCATTTTGTTGCAGATGAACAGGAACGAGTTCAGAAGAAGACTTTCGTCAACTGGATCAACTCTTATCTAACTAAGGTGAGGCTACATCACGAATATAACATGTATACAGTGCGTTCATAAAGTGTGGAAACGCTCCATTATCTTACGATATAATTATTTTCAGAGGTAAAGCTCGGACAGGTCGATTTTGTATTTCAGTCTTCCATCTTTTTTTACAAAAAAATAATTTCTTCCCCCACTACCTTACAAGATATGACGTCATCGATATTTTTTTTTAATTGAAAGGGTATATTTTTATATCAAAAATTGAAAGCCCATATTTTTCTGAGTTCAACCATACTACATACGTCATATCTTACACTTCAAGTTACAGTATACTGAGTATAAAAGAAACCAGTGTTCATATTTCTCAACATTCATTTAATTATTTATTTTGCAATGGAAACCTGAGAATTACTCAGTAGTTAGTACGAGTATATTTGCCATACTTTTCACTACTTCTTATGATATTTTCATTGCAAATAAATAATTAAATTAATGTTGAGAAATATGAACACTGGTTTCTTTTATACTCAGTACACTGTAACTTGAAGTGTAAGATATGACGTATGTGGTATGGTTGAACTCAGAAAAATATGGGCTTTCAATTTTTGATATAAAAATATACCCTTTCAATTTAAAAAAAATATCGATGACGTCATATCTTGTAAGGTGGTGGGGGAAAAATTATTTTTTTTGCAAAAAAAGATGGAAGACTGAAATACAAAATCGACCTGTCCGACCTTTACCTCTGAAAATAATTATATCGTAAGATAATGGAGCGTTTCCACACTTTATGAACGCACTGTATATATTCTTGCATTGAGCTTCTGATATGATAGGAGCACATTGAGAAATACATACTTTGAAATAATTATATTTTTCGTCCACCTCTACAAAAAAATCACATTTTTCGAACGAAAAACCGACTATTTCCGAAGGCACTTTGTCTGCTGCAGGGTTGCCAGTTTTACTGAATTTTTAGTAGATCTCCTGATTTGCATATTGATCTACTGATCTACAGAAATAACCTACTGAAAAATATTTGGACACCTGTTTGTTATTATAATTACCTTTATATAATTCTCAGTCTTTAGTCAATCACATACACTTATAAATTGCACGCTCTGTTTGAATTAATTTTACAAAATAAGTAATGAATTTACATATAAATAAATGCAAAAATCTCAAAGTCATTTCCACACAGTGTTCATAAAATGAACAACAATGGTAGATTTCGGTAGAAAAACAACTACTTTCCTGGCTTATGCCACGCAGGATATTGAATTACATCCTCCCGAAATCTATGCATCGACTCGTATAAACGAATACTGATACAATAAGTGATTCTTTCCTGAATGCCTATTGATTCCGATTGAGCCAGGCCGCTAGACAACCACAGACCAGTTTCGAGCTCTTTGACTCTCATCAGTGCAGTGTAGTCTCCAGCCAGCAGTCCTAAGACCGCCGACTCAGCGAAGCCTAGCCAAACAAAAATCAAGTTGGCATGTTCTGATAATATCTATCGTTCATCAAAGTTTTGATTGATTATCGTAAACCGTTTTTTTTATCGCTTGAAGCGCACGAAAGGGAATCCCAATAATGAAGTGAAGGTTAGACGTTTTGTAATATTTTTCGGCAGCTGTCACTGTCAAATATTCATTTTACTTATATTTAACATTTGCATTACATCTTTGTGGGCAACCTGTCAACACACTTATAATGTCTGACGCCTGAAAATATGGTTAATTTGATATTTTCCTCATTCTGTTGCAATACCCGATGGGAGCCAAATCATGAAAATTTTATGATCCTATTTCAAAGTGTCAATCCTTGTTACAATTATCATGTTATGTTATTTCCTGAATGTTGTATTGATTAATTATCATTGACTTTTAAGGAATAAAATCTGAGTTCTGAATTATAATTTTGGCGATACTTTGATCAGTTTCCATTTCATCAAAAAGTGGGAAACCTCTAATGAAAACCTAATTTTATCGTATTACTTGCAATTAAATTTCGGAAGAAAAACCATACCTCCGAAAATAAAAAGTCACCGGCACATACTCATCATTACCTTGACTAGCGGTGGATCAGGTAATCCAACTGCTCAATGAGTCCACTATACCATTTCAAGTTTAGCATGACGTTAGTGACGTTACGTAGCTTATCGTACTCTACTCATCAAATGAAATGTCCATGAAAAAGTTATCCTTCTCCGTGCACGTGGCAAACATTCACAGATTGGGTACGTATTTTCAATTCAAATTTTATTCCACACCCTGATGTATGATAAACATCAATTCATTGTACAACTGACAAACGCTCCAACTAACTTTGGATTGATCATACCTAATGACTTACTTAATTATGTCATATTTGTGTGATAAAAATAATGAGAAACGAATTTCAGGGATTAAAAATAGTTATTCATCATACAAGGGACAAAAGTAGTGGATTTTAGCTCCAGGTTGTGTTATAGCGGAGCTGAATTCTGATATTTTTCACATTTTTTTTTGTGGCAGGAAAAAAGACGAATCAGTGTTGAGAAGATATCACATTATATTAAAATCAGAGAATAATCGACGTGAAATTTGAAGTTTTTAACAGTAATGACACCTGCGTTACAGGCATCTGTCAGTCTAAATCAGTGATTTGATTCTGGAAAATTGTGAATTTAGTGGTTGTTTAGTAATTTTCGTGACCTCGAAGTCCAATGGAGGATGAAAGGACTTGCAGTTTGTTCTCAAGGAAGGTGTTTTTGGTTCATTTTCCGGAACTATAGCACAACAAAAGCCATCAACAGTGAAAAGTGACATTTTATAACTTGTCAACTGAGATGGAATTTCAAACTTTTTTCCATCACAGAAAAAAATATATCAACAATTCTCGAAAATTCCTGTATATTCAACAGTTTACAATGTTGCCATACTAGATTAGAAGGGGCTCAACCCAACTGAGATGATTCGACATTTCACATTAATTCACTTTTTGAAAATGTAAACAAAACATCACCAAGAACACGAAATAACTTTCAACAAGACATAATAGTGATTTTCCTAACAAGTGCGGAAATTTATACTTTCCCGCACGAGAATGCTGATCTCCTGATCGACGCGAAGCGGAGTCCGAGCAAGCAGCCGAGTGCGGGAAAGACACTTTTCGCATGAGTTAGGAACAATATTTTTTCTACAAGCGTAGGAAATTGATCGATTTGTTCAATCAATTATTCCTGCAAATAGGAACAACTAACAATAGTGATATATTCTCTATCTTCTAATAATTAGTGATATATCTATTGTGTGTACCGTTTGAAGCACTACGTAGGTAAGCTTATTGCGGAAGCCAGCATGCCCATGGTGTTTGGCCTCTAGGTTTCAGACTTGTAAGTAAGATGGCTACAAGTAGCCATCTTACTTGCACCAGTCGCACAACGACGACCAGATTCAGCAAGTACAAAATCTCTCGATTTGAACAATATAATTTTGTAAAATGTCAGTGCAGAACTGACTGATTTGAGAGGTTAGATAATCATGAACTTTTCTTCTTCATGAAATAATGAAAACAGTGTTGTCAGCTCAAAAATTCTTAATTTTTCAACAATATTGCTATCACTTGAACTTATAACCAGTCTTGCAGTTACTCTTCAAACAGAATACAGAACTTCATAGCAATATTGTTATGTGTTATGATTATAACAATATTATGAACAGAATCGACCCGAATGACTTGTTGCACCGGTGCTCAAATAAATACAAAGAAGCAAGAAATGTTCTCAAAACACCGTGTTTACCTGAACGAATTTATAGGAAATAATAGTGAACCCCGAAAGTTAATCAGTTAGAATGGCACTTAACTTTCGCAATTAATGAATGGGCACGTATAAATTTTGATCTGATTCGTATACGGAGCTTGGTACGAAGTAGCCCTGCGTAAACTCAAAACCGCTTTCATGGCAGATTATTCGCAACAACGATGCCACACACCAATAACCTCTTCAGCTAAATGTCACGAGTCATTTCAGTTGGAGAATGAACGAGAAATAATATGTCGAGGAATTAAATACCGTGTGACCAAAATGCATAATATGGCTATTGGATTCGCAGTGTATCTGAAACTCGAATATTTTTTATAATGAAGAGATGAACGCTTCTGGTTTCAGTAATATTGTTGAAACTGGAAATTATTTGGAGAGTAACGTGTCGCCTCGAACAGAAGACGCGGTTAGGGAAAGTGGTAATGAGTGTCTTAATCGCATACAAAATTTCATGATGCGATAAGTAATATACTCATAGGTATAATTCTGGATCGTAACTGAATTGGTAAATCTTCACCAATACGCAGTTATGAAATATAGACTCCCATTATGAATAACATTTTTGCGTTTGAGACAGAAATTGAATATTTACATCATAGCTATCAGGCCAATATTTTACTGTATGCCTCGGTTATTTGGCTAAATCTCACAAATATTACAAAACTAGATCGCGAGAAAGTTGACAGGATCTTCCAGGTATATCCGGAACAATCAAATCGCCAGGGATCTGAAATTCCTTCCAATCTTGTCGGTCGTTAGATAACGAAATACCAAGACTGCAGTGGCACTTTTGATCTCTCGCAGGAATTAATTGTCATAGAATGATATATAGTTCTGTTTCCTGTTGTTACCACTCTTATTACAGAAGTGACTAGAGGTGATAATATAACCGCCTATGTGCGACATTTTCATTGCATCTGACTGTACATTTTGTACCTCAACCTTAAACGCTTGACGCAATGAAAATTCTGATAGATACATAATTGTACATACATACTGTTGAATCAACACATCATTATAAACATATTATCTTGTATAGAAATATTGACAAACACAGAATGTTGTTCAACAGATCAAAACATTATAGTGAAACACATTAATACAGTTTCTGCGATTTCAACCTTCAACACCCTCCTAATTTGGAACCCATCGACCGATTTTCAAAAACAAAAATTCCATAATATACTCAACGAGTTCTTTTCGAAAATGTGGACAAATCTGGAATATTCAGATTTTCAAGACTTACTTTTGTTAGTTAGTCAAAAACGACTATTAGGCTTTTTTTCGAAGCAGTGACTAGCCTATTCGATTCAAGCATATATAGCTGAAATACCTCCATACAAAATTTGAACGCAATACCTTATATGGGGTGTAAGTTATTCAATGGCAAATTTCAGAATTATCGCTTTATCGATTCACCCTGTGATAAAATCTAAGGAGTTGATATAACCGCTGAGGTAGTCATTCAATGGAGAAACATATAGAATACTTTTGGGTGTATGATAAATTGACATTCATCATACAGGGCGTGGAAAGAAATTCTGAATTGAGAGTAACTTTGAAAATCGTCTCGATTGATAAAGAACTGTCGAATATAATAACAAAATAGAATGACAGACAATCACGTTCCATAGACTATAAGGAGATATACTGATACCTCATGTGATCATAATAATATACCTACCGATTTTGGCGAAATGCATGCAAGGAAAATTTGAGATGACAATGAATATTTTTATGTATGTAGAATATTTCTTCGAACTAGTTTCTATTATTTATATTTTCAGGAAAAAGATATGGATCATAATGAAAAATGTTTCAACTTCAACTTCCATTAATAAGTTACAACGATGAAACTTCGTATCTATGTGATCCTCTATTAAATGGCTACTTCACCGGTTATATCAACTCCTTAGATTTTGATCCAGGGTGCATCCAAAAATTAAAAATATTAAAATATGCCATTGAATACCTAACACCTTATATAGATATTGCGTTCAAATTTTGTATGGGGGTATTTTAGCCATGCCTGAATCAAATAGGCTAGTCACTGTTTCGGAAAAAAATTGCCTAATAGTCGTTATTGGAATTATGACCCTTCAATAGATAAAAGTAGTTCTTGAAAATCTGATATTTCAGATTTTCGAATACACTTCGTTGAGTATGGGATTTTTGTTTTTGAAAATCGGTCGACGGGTATTTAGCAGAGTGAACAGTTTCCTTCACCATTGGCGTGCAATGTTGAGGGGTACAAAAAAGACCGTTATTCGGCAAAAGGATATTAGGGTTTTTTTATATAACTATTTTCATCAGATTCAGAATCAGCATCTACAAAAAAACCCAATTCATATTTTCGAAATCAAAATTCTGCTTTTTCATGGCTGCGCCCCAAAAGCTCAGTTATTAATGATGCGATTTTCTCGAAACTGTGATGGTGATTGTATGTTATTTTTTTAACATACAATCATCATCAAAATTTCAAGAAAATCGCATCGTTGATAACTGAGTTAAGGGTGTTGTCATGAAAAGCGGAATTTTGAAATATTTTATTTCAGCTCTTGGGATCTTGAAAATATAAATTGGGGGTTTTTGGGGATGCTGACTATGAATCTGATAAAAAAGTTATTTAAACTGATTCCTAATAGCCCTTTCCCAAATAGAGGCCTTTTTGGTACCCCTCAACATCGCACTCCAATGTTGAATGGACTGATGAATGAAATGTTCATTCTGCTAAATACTTCCTTATTCTAACATACAATCACTACAAAAATTTCAAGAGAATCGCACGATTAATAAGTGAGATATCAGGGTATATTCATGAAAAGCGGGACACACTATATATACAGGGTGTCCGCTAAAAGGAGGTCAATCCATCAACCATATATTCCTTGAGCAAAAACAATATGAGTTGCTGGATACCATTTTTCATTTCAGCCTCTCATATTCGATATACAGGGTGTCAAAGTTGGAAAGCAAAAACTGTTTTTTTTAATTACTCGCGTATTTAATGAGATATCTAAACATGGGCAAAAAAAGTTTACACATGAGGCGATTTCGAAATTCAATAAATCACCAGATGATATCAAGAACAGCCCAGATATTATGCAATTCAAAAATAAAGTGAAGAAATATATATTTACATGCAAAGGAATGATCAAAGGTGGAAGACTATGAATTTCCTTTTTTTTCACTGTTTTTATTTTTCCCCTTCTTGTTCACTATAAAATGACTGTTATTTTGAGATATCTTAATGATATGTAAGTTTTGTTCACTATTTGTAATTTCAATTATACAACAGTCGATAATACTTCATGAATGATCTCATACCAGGAATTACTGTCTGATCATTCATGTCATTCCTACTAGAAAATTGATTATACTTTATATATCATTTGTATGAAATGTATCAATGAAGAAAAGAATGTAATGCAATAACTGAAATAAATTTAAAAAAAAAATTGGTACACTCCTTCAGCACAAAGAGTTACATCGTGTGTAGAAAACAAAACAGAAAATACCTGTCAAATATTCAAAATACTGGGGGTCAAGTACACACTTACCCCCATATTTTTTTTGTACGTGCGCTAATGACTTCCTATCTATTTTTCCCCAAGTGTTCAATCATTTTTGAGTATTTTTTGTGTCGTGTAAAATTTAGATAAAATCATTTGTTTTTATGATAATTCGAAAAGTACTCTGGTTATTGTTTGATGCCTATGCGGCTTACGGTCATCTCATAATGTTCACATTAATCACTCCTATTTACTTCGTCGAAATTGGAAGAGGGCGTAACGTTTCAAGTACGAAAAGGTGAATATGGAAATACCGGGTGCTGAGAGCGAATATATCAAAGTAATTTTTACGAAAAAAAAATTGAGATTGATATTAAATACGCGAGTAATTAGAAAAAAACAGTTTTCAATTTCCAACTTTGACACCCTGTATATCGAATATGAAGGGCTAAAACAAAAAATGGTATTTAGAAACTCATATTGTTTTTGTTCAAGGAATATATGTTTAATGGATTGACCTCCTTCTAGCGGACACCCTGTATATTATCTATATAGGATATGAACAGTTCAATTTGGTACCTATGTTGAAAGTTATGAATAAGTGGTGAAGCTAACAATGAAAAATTCATTCAAAATATGTATAGTGAGATTGATGAAGAAAAAGCTGTTCCACTACTTTACGAAACATTTTCATCTCCCTGTATTTCCATGATAGTAAGTGAAGGATGAATAAATAACTTCTTTTCGTAATGAAGTATAAAATTCTCAATTCGTGTTTGTTATAGAGATAGAAAGACTGATAATGGTAATGATAATGGTATATGGTATGACTCTATGACTTAATATTTCCCTAGTATTATTTATGAATCAAACAAACTGTTTCTTGGATGAATATGCAAACTGATGGTGAAATTAACATATCATTATTTTCTTTGCAGCGAGTTCCACCGCTGAAGATAGAAGATTTGATCGAGGACTTGAAGGACGGTACCAAACTCTTAGCACTACTAGAAGTATTGTCTGGGGAGAAACTGGTAAGATATAAATATCCCATTGCCCACGCACCACTTTCATCCCACACAGCTTTCAACACAGTTGACAATGAACGAGAATATATTAGTTTTTCAAAGAAATAATGTCCAGCTATGTCCAGCTATCATACATAACATGGTATCGAGATATGAATAGTACCCATACACACAAGGAGTATCATACAAGACTAAAAATAACCCAATTCTGATAATTTGTGAAAGCAAGCTATGAAGCATGTTTGGACGATGGCTAAAGGTTACAAGGTCTATGAATCTCAAATATTCTCAGCATTCTGACACTTTTAGCTACCGGCAACTTTTGGGTTTACAATGCTACACACGTTCTGTTTCACTTTATCTTTCAATTCCACATCGATTTGATTTCATGTGTAAGAAATATTGATTGATGACCTTTTTAGAATGTAACAGATGCAACATGTAAGGCACATTTCAAGTGGAACAAAATATTCATGATTATGCGGCGATTCAATAATATTGAATGTGAATGGGCCCAGCATTTCAAACAAATCTGGAAATCTGAATGATCTCAATGAATTGGATATTGCGGAGTGATCTTGAACTGGCCTCATTTTAAAAATACCTACGAGCAAATTTTTCATTCGATAGAATCAATGGATTTTTCAATCAAAAATCAAAAACGAATAACTAAAATAATCATTTGTGACAGTGAAGTAGTGACTGAAACAGGAAATTGAACTACACAGTGTTTTTCTAGTACTATTTCTGTCAAATAATTCGGTCTATTTTAAAGGACAAGTCGGACTAAAACCGAATTTGTTAGCATCTTCAGGAAAAGATTAAAACTGGTTTTAATCTTCTCCTGAAGATGCTAACATAGTTAGCGAAACACGTGTCGAGGCCTTAAAAAATCGGTTTGGTTAGTGGTAAAACAGTGTAGTGTCTAAATTGGGTGGTTCACAACACTAGGAAACTATTATTGGTGCAGAAACTGCAGCTCAAACTGAATTTATTCATAGACCTATATACTTTCTGGGAATTCTTTTTCGCTCATGAATATCTAGAAAATTATCCCTCGTCTTCGACTCGGAATAATTTTGGCTCGAAAAAATTCCCAGAAATAATTTAACCTCTAGTGATATTACAAGTGATAATTTGCATCATCTACCCCATCTACACAATTCGCATCACCAAATCGAAGTGTAATATTGATACCTGTATGTATACTATTCTTTTCAATTCGTAGCCTATGGAGAGAGGCAGGGTTCTCAGAAGACCGCACTTCTTAAGCAATGCCAATACAGCCTTACAATTTCTGACTTCGAAGAGGATAAAATTAGTCAACATAAATGCCAGCGACTTGGTGGATGGGAGACCGCCAGTTGTCCTGGGACTTATTTGGACAATTATTTTATACTTCCAGGTAGGTCAACTTAGTACCTGAACAATTAGTGTTTTATGTTCAATAGTCGTGCACTATAATTTGATACTGATGTGTTCAATTACCAAGAAGTAAGGAAAGAAGTCGATGCTAATACCGTTTTCCACTAGTTGCACTAGCTCTAACTTAAAACGCAATGAATGTTTTTCGTCTTTGTTTATCATGTGTAATTATTCAAGGATGGATACACACCGAGTGCATGATTTCTATGCAGTGGAAAACGTTATTATATTTTTGCAAAACATTGTTCTGCTTGTTGAGTTTTTGAATTGTTCGAAAGGGATCAAATTTAGAGCATCGTCAGTAGAGAGAGTAATGCTTCAGATAGTTTCTCACGAAAGTAAATTTATACAGATTGGTCGGTGAGGAATATTCAATAGATGATATCAAATTTTGTGGAACAAGTTTGATCTAAATTTTTGAAAACCTATATAATAATTATGGAAAAATCAATTCAGTATTATCTCTATTCATGATGAATCAAGATTAGATACCTGTTATGTCTCATGTTTCCCAAAGATTTTTTCATTCTGAAATTCTTCTCATTGACTGATTTTGTATAAGTAGTTCAGCAGTGCACTATATAATTCGTGATTTTGATTTTTGAAAGCTTCGTAATAAGGAGTTTGAGTATTACCTGCAAATAGTAAGTACATGAATAATAACACACCTAAGCTTCTAGAACACAATTTTCGAAGTTTTTCGTTCAACCTGAAAAAAATATACCTACTCATATATATTCCTATATTTTTGACTCGAGTATTGGGAAAACTTCTTCATTATATTATAATTAAAATTTTCCAAATTATCCTTCAGAAAATCGCTCTGAGCTGAGAAAAATTCTTCTGATGATATTTTTGATAATATAAAAAAAATTTATTCTAGTGTCCCAACTTGATTTTGGCCTCACTCTATCATTCCTCACTCAATGTGAATGTTCAAAATAGTATATTGAATTTATGATTTTCCGCAGATTCTACAATGAGTGATTTTCGCGTGAACTATGGATATGCATCGTATTTGTATTGTATTATCGATTGTATGTTGGACAAACACCAATTGCTATTAGTTATTTAATGATTATGACACATGATTACCTAAGCATCATCAATTTCTCCTACAGATCGAAGAAAACAGAAGGCAACTCGAATACCTAACCCAATACGGTAGTACTAGCAGCCTGGAGAGTGCTGGTACTTCTTCTTCAAAAGACAGATGGAAACAAGGAGCACGGAAGACCCTCTTACAGTGGGTATCCAACGCTCTACCAAGCGATTCCTCTATAGAAATCCGAGACTTTGGTGCCAGCTGGCGAGATGGCATAGCTTTCCTAGCTATTATAGACGCGATCAAGAAAAACTTGGTCAACATCGCTGAAATGAAGAAGGCTTCCAATAAAGCTAGACTGGAAACGGCTTTTGACGTTGCCGAAACAGAACTCGGCATTTCCAGGTTGTTAGATCCAGAAGATGTTGACGTACCTAAACCAGACGAAAAATCTATCATGACCTACGTAGCTCAATTCCTACACAAATATCCTGAGCCTAAGAGTACAGGTCCAGACGCTATAGTCGCCATTCAAGAAGAGTACAGTGAGCTGCACTCCTGGTTATTGAAAAAAACTCAATACTTGGAACATCTCCAACAAACAAACACTTTGCCACTTAATTATCAAGAGTATATTGCGTTCAAATCCGAGGTGGACGATAAGGAAAACTTGTTCATCAAGTTGAGACACCTCATAGAGTCCCAGAGCATCATTTCCATTGCCAAAGAAAGCTGGTTCGATATCAACAGGTTGTGGAAAAAGCTGCAACATCAGCTGTTAGCCTGGCTATGGCTACTAGACTCCAACCTTCCTGGTGATTTCAAATTCGTAGGAGAGTGGCTAGCAAGAGCAGAACAACTGATTTATTTCGATGAGATTCCTACTGCTATGACTGAAGAAACCGCTACTATAATCAGCCGTAAGCTTGAAGAGCACAAGGTGTTCTTTGCTGATTTGCCGACTGTTCAACTGAAATTCGCTCAGGCTTGCCAGAGTCCGTTAGCGAGAGAAGTGCCTTCAGGACAGTTGACCAATATGGGTATCAGACTGAACGAGGTAGGGCCTAAAGCTGCTCAGAGAAGAGTTAGACTGAAGTTCCTGGAACACAAGGTGAGTTGTCAAGATAACGAGTTTCGAGATATCAATATCATATTATTTCACAACTATTCTCATCACGTACATAGGGAAACCAATATAGTAGATATATCTATACTCCCATTGCCTACTCGAAAACTATTAGAAATTTATTTGCATCAGCGAACACACACTAGCAAGCAACTACCATATGTATTTTTATCAGCCTCATCTGATTATTTGGCATTTTATGGACTACAAAAGAAGGGGAGTGTTGTATTTCGCACAAGATAATTTATTCAAATTTATACTCGTAGCAGAGCGCTTTCGACTGTTAGGTCATCATCAGTGCATACTTGTCAGGTTAACAAGGAAATTTGTCCATAAAAATATCTCTGGGGTCCAGTTCAAAACTAACGACACTATGGTAAAATACGGTACAAACATATTAGGTCACTCATCAAGTTCACTTCAACACGACATGTCGCAGCGACAATGGCTGCTTAATAAAATGTAATCTGTATTTTACCCCCTTTTGGGCAACACATTTTAATATGTTTGTACCGTATTTTACCATGATGTCGTTAAATTTGAACTGGACCAGAGATATTTTCATGGACAAATTTCCTTGTTAATCTGACGAGTATGCACTGATGATGACTTAACAGTCGAAAGCGCTCTGCTACGAGTATGAATTTGAATAAATTATCTTGCACGAAATACAACAGTTCCCTTCTTTGGTATACATACACGTGCACACAGCCCAGCAACCCTCATTTTATGGACTGTACGGTACATATATCGCGAAATAATTGGATAGTTGATGGATGAATAGATACAATTTTCTTGACATATATTTTTTCAGTGTTGCCTCATTGCCTTTTTGCAATTAACGGAGATCAAATCGAAGACCTGGACTGCGAAATATGGACGTTTAGACAAAGTTATTCAACTACTAGATCAATACAGGAATTTTGTTTCCAAAAACAATATCTTCCAAGAATTCAACAAAGCATTCATCGATATGCAAGCTGTTGTCGAAGAATATAAAAGAGATGGAAACATTGGCAAGAATGAAATTGTCGAAATCGACAGATTCTTGCGAGACATTGCAGAACGTTGGAAGAATGTATCCATGGAGCTGAGATGTGTCGAAAGTATGCTAGAAGAAGTTGTAACCTATTGGAATCGATGGAATACCCTAGTACCAGAATTCGAGAACTGGCTCAGCCAAGCAGAGCAATCCATGAACATCCCAGAAGAGAACAAGATGGAGTTTTTCCAAGATATCAGTGTTTGGAGAGATAACTACCAGTTACTTGGAGACAGTGCTTCTTTCCTCATAGCAACCTGTGAAGAACCGATAGCTAGAGAGCTAAAAGATCAATATCAGAGGTTAACAGAACGCTGGGATAAAATATATCCTCTAGTCAACAAATACAGCCACGCTGGTGATATTCTCAGAAACCGCAAAGACTTCAGAGCAGGAGTTGAAGTGATGTCGAACTGGTTGAGGAAAGCAGAAAGTATCCTCAATGCACCAAGTCTTGGTTCGATGGAGAAAATAAAACAGCACACGAAGAAGCTGCTACAGCTTCAAAGCGAGGTCGAAGAAATTGAAAATCTCTTTAAAAATATCAGCAAAGCTTTCCAGACTTTAATTCAAGATTTATCTAGGGAAGAGGTTGATCAGATGATGAATACGCTGAAACAAGAGAAAGAAGCTCTAGTAAGAGTCAGGTCACTCATACCGTCACAAATACATCTGTTCAATCAGCTGTTGGTTCAGCAAGAATCTCTAGAAGCTGGACAAAGAGAAATCAACCACTGGTTAGATACTGCTGAGACACATCTGAGCAGCTTGAATTTGGAAAGTGACAAGGAAGAGTTGAAGGAACAAATAGACAGGGTTAAACAGTTCTTCACAAGAACTTTGTATTATCGGTCTATGCTAGATAGCAAGAACAAGGTGATGAATAATATCATCAAGTCCGTGGACCAGACTCAGAACTCGGATGTTGCTGAAATGATTGCAAAGATGGAGCAGCTGAATGACAGGTTCGATTATGTCACTCAGAACGCTCAACTTTGGGACCAAAAGCTGCAGGAGGCAGTACGTTGCTGGTACAATTTCTCTGATTGCGAACGAGTTATTTCTGATTGGTTGAACCAGGCCGAGGAGATGATCTCGGATAAGAGAATTGATAATAAAGAGATTGTCGAGAAACACAAAAACTTTTTCCAATCGGTCAATGAAAGATGGATCCACGATTTGGTACAGAGTGCTCAAGATTTGTGTAATTGTCTTCCGAAGGATCAGCATCAGCCAATTTTATCATCAGTCAGTCGTTTGCAGAATAAGTGGAAAGAGGTACTATCTTTTGCACCTCTGCATCTCATGAGGCTAGAATTCAGACTAGATGAGAGTACTTTCAATTACTACATCAAGGAAATCGAGAAAGAAATCACAAGCGAGCAGATGTCGTTTAGTAGACAAGAAAATGTTGAGTCTATCATTAAAAGAAACAAGGAATTCTTCTCTGTGAGGGGTCCTTTGTTAGAAGCACAGAGAAGCTTAGAGAATTTGAATAAGCTAGCGAGTGTATACACGCAAAATCACCCAGAAGACAGAAGCCTGCAGAATGCTATCGAGAAAGCTGAGCAGCAGTGGAAAAATATCAACATCAAAGTTGAAAAACTCAAGAACCAGCTAGAGAAGATTCCCGAGAAATGGCATGGTTACCACGAGAAATTCAATGACATGACAAAATGGATGGATGGAGTTGATAATGCTCTGAAAAATATTCTGAAAGATGTTAACTCTATGGAAGAGTTTGAACGTGAAAAAGCTGTCTTCCAGGTGAGTCTGATGTCTCTTTCAGTTTGAATACCTATTTTTTAATGTTGATTTTGATTCTTGCAATCCCATGGAATAGTTGAAGGAGCTCTCGGTAATTAATTTTATATTGCTTAATTGAACATCAAAAAATGATTTTGGTCAACTCTTCACGAAATATTATTGGTTATATTAAAATTCTATGAGATTTTCTCTCTCAGTCGATAGAATAGAAAAAAGTTACGACGATATATGGGATCGTTGGAAACAGGTAATAGGATTCGGCAAAATGTGTTAGTCATTTCATTTCATTAATAAGACAAAAATGAGTCGGTTGTTTGAATGAAAGATGTCTAATGACGTCTAATTTTGATGTCAGCCGCTGACCTCAGCATAATACTATTTTTTGAAGTGTTTATGAAAATGCAGAACCCAGAAATTCAAAAGAGATTTGAAATGAAACATAGAAAATTGAATAGTAGCTGTCCCACTACGTCACGTCCCAAATAGCACACGACGTCCTAGAGACGTCGCTATTTGGTACTATTCAAGTCCGAATGTCCTGGACCAGGAATAAGTGTCCTTGGGACGTCCCATCCCGTACATCTCCTGCAATGTCAGAGCGAGGACGTCCACGGAATGTCCCAGCAGGTACATCATTTCAAATGTCCTAGAAATAGCATTCCTTAGACGTACGTCCCACGTGGTACATATTGTAGAATGTCCATGCAAGGACGTCCTTGGCATATCCCTGATGTGATATGATTTTAAGCGTTCCTTTAGGGACATCCATCGGATGTCCCGAGTAGTACATATTCTGGCATAACTTCAGATCTTATGTCCCTTCTAGACAAGCATGAAATGTCCCTGATATGGTACATTCCTTCAAATATCTCCGCACAAACGCCCTTAATATTTCCAAGATCGTATAACAATCGAAATCTCCCTTAGGGACATCCTTCGAATGTCCCTTAGAAATATCCGTCAGATATCCCAATTGGTACATGAACTGAACTCTCCCAATATCCCAGAAATAACGTCCTAGGACGTTAATTTACACCTCGCCGACGAATGATAGCTCGTAGGCTATAAATACTCTCCGTCAATGTCCTTCACGTAAGTCCATTGGACATCCTTGGGAAACTTTTTCAGGATCTATTGGGGACCTTCTACCGATCATCAACTAAAGTGGATGTCCTCATCAGTTATGCAAGATCTGGTCCTAGAGTGGCCCAGAAAAATTCAAATTCGAGAATAATTCGTACGTTCCTGGGACATCTTATGGACATCCAATTGATATCCCTCAGCGTTGCTGATAGGTTGTCCTACGGATGTCCTAAGGATGTCTTCCGTAGTGCTTGATGAGGAATACTGTAGGATTTAGGTATTCGATAGTTGTCCCAGGGACATCCCTCAAGGACGTTCCTAGTTGGTCCTCAAGTGAGACATTTGTACGTCCCACAGACGTCCTATGGACGTCCTGAATTTCCCGACGGGACATAATTGTATTAATAGGGGTACTTCGAAAAATGCGGGAATGCATTGAGAAAAATGGCGATCATTTACGAAGTAATGAGGACCTACATTATTTATTGTCGACCAAACCGCGTCACCGAATCATGTAGTCAGGGTTGATGGAACTGATAATTATACTTTTTATTTCGGTGTCATTTGGCCTATTGCTATGATATATTCTTCTCTGTCAATGTAAGAACTGGTCGTAAAGTTCCAGAATGAGAGTAAAAAAACCTGAGACGGTGCACTTCTTTCGGTAACTTGAAGTTTTTAATTTGTTGAAATATTCTACATAATTTTTCTCGAATATTTTCGATACCACAGGCCATAGCTCCTGGGTTTTTCGACTTTGATATTGACCTCATGTTTCCTCATTTCTCCAAATCATAAGAAATTCCCATTTCAATTGTTCCAAAATATTGACGATGAATTTCCCATGAATTGTTTGATTTATGCTGTTCATTTTGCTAAACTCTCTTCTTGGGAACTTACACCTAATTCGATGATTATGCACTTTAGTAAGGAATTTCATGAGCTGTACTTCTTTATTGAACTATTATCCATCTACAACTTCTATCCACGTATAAAACTTGTAACTGTACGACTTGTGAACGTGTTATAACAAAGTGTTAGTGAACATCTTTATCTTTTATGTCTACATAACAAAGTCTATGATATGGTATGTTTCATTTACTCATTCCTTATCATATATATATTTTCAACAGAATATTTGTAAGGAAGCCGATTCCAAACGAGAAGACATGAAATGGTTAGTCCAAACTCTAGACTCCCTAACTTCACACTGCCCCGAAACCCAAGCCATAAAAGAACAAAAGACTCTCGAAGAACTGATTATTCGATATAAGAACCTAATCCCCTCACTCGAAATCACTATGATCAAAACAGACACAATATCAAAATGCTACACCTATCGTCGAGAAGTGAGAGAAATATGCCAGCTATTGCAGCAAGTGAGAGATCTATCTAGAAAAGAAAGCCAACCACAATCTCTAGATACCGTAGGCCAATCCATTCATCAGCAACAGGTTTCCATCTCAAAATTAGACATGCAAAGACCTAACATCATTTCGTTACTTCAAAGAGGCAAAGAACTGAGCCGAGATGAGAACGCGCCCAGTTTCATCAAAGAAGAAGTAAAAAGTCTAGAAACAGGATGGACTGAAACCTATGACGAGACTGAACAAACTCTCCACAAGCTACTCAGTTCTCAACAGCTCTGGAGCGGTTACAATGAGCAAAAACAAGAAATTACCGACCTCTTACATAGAGCTGAAAGTGACTCGGAGAATTTGAAATCAAGTTTGCATGGTTCTACTTATACACCTTCTGACTTGATGACCCAGCAGCAAATGTCTCTTGAATTGAGGGAAGCAACCGAGGATAAGCTCAAAAGACTTCGAGATTTAAGTGCCAAACTAAGCCAACAAATACCTGATCAGAAAGCTACTCTAGACAGAGAAGTACAGCAAATTGAACATAGACTGAACACCACTATTACCAACGTTACTGAAAAAATAGTGATGCTGCAACAGTATAGTACCAAGTGGAATACTGTACATAGCGCTCTCGAACAAATGCATAGATGGACTGTACATGAAGCACCTCAACTTCTATCTTCAGTAGAAGAATATGGCATTACTCCGAATGAACGAGCAGAAAAAGTGGACAAATTACAGTCTGAGGTGGTTCAAAAAATGAATCAACTTGATACATTGAACAATGAGGCGCAACAACTCTTGACTGAAGATGGTCCAGAAGCACAGAAGTTGAGGGCAGAAATGGTGAGTATACAAGACCGAGTAATAGCCCTCAACAGAACGGTTGAAACTCATTCTGCAGTTATTTCAAGAGACATGAAGAACTGGGAAGCATATCAAGCTGGTATTCAAGAAATCACACCTTGGATCGAAGATGCAGAGGTAAGAACACAGTTTGGGTTACCAAAACCTAGCACTTTAGAAGAAGCCGTGCAGATACAAAACCAAACAAGGCAATTTGGAAAAGAAGTGGACCAGCAAAAGCAGAAGTTACAAGGTGTGGCACTGACTTCGCAAAAATTAACAATGAGAACTAGTTCTCCAGATGAAGTGGATTCGATCCGAATGCGATGGTCTGCCATTCATGATACAACAAATCAGTGGACCCAAAAACAAGACAAACTTGTTGCGAAATGGTTAGAGTTCGATAAAAACTTGCAGCATTTAGAACACTGGATAACTAAAAGTGAGAACACTTTATCATCGCATCCTACTAACCTCAATACGAAAGGTCTTGATGATTTAGAAAAAAATCTTACTGAGCTTAAGGCATTTAGTAATGAAATATCGGAGCAACAAGCAAAATTGATTGTCCTGACTCAAAGCTCTGATGCCATAAGCTACAATGTCAGCCCCGAGGGAGCAGTTTTGATGAAAAATCAAACCCAGGAATTAAAGTCGAAGATAGCACAACTCGCAGAAGGTGTGAGAGCTAGAATTAATGAAGTTTCTGATGCTATATTGGTCAAACAAGACTTCCAAGCTAAAATGGCGGACTATTCTAATTGGATGGAGGCAATGAATACTAGTTTAGGTCAAATTGATGAAGTACCAGTGAGCCAAGTAGAAACGACATTATCAACTATTCATAATTTATTGCAAGAACACTCTGACAGACAGCCCATGTTCAATGCTATTTATAGTGAAATAAAAGATGTAAATATACAGTCGATAGGAATAGCTTCAAAATTATTAGGTGAAGAGTATTCTGATTTGGTTCAGCAGAACCAGGAAATCGAACACAATCTTCAAGAGAAGAAAACTCAACTGCAAAGATGGCATGAGTTGCTGAACTGGCACGCAGATACTTCCAAACAACTCTATCATATTAAATATCAATGTGAGGTAGAAAAGAGCACTGAAAACTTACAGAATCTTATAAGTGAAACCAACGGAATTATTGAAAAAGTCATTACATGGAAAATGGATGCTCGAAGTATAGATGAAAGCCCATGCGTGACGATAGTGGATGAGAAAACGGGATTGATAAGAACTGCCGAAAATGTGGCGAGAGAAATTGAAGTGAATACCATCAATCTCAAGGAAAAACTGTCTGGTAAAGTCGAAGGACTTGAAAACTTGAAGTTAGAATGGAACAAATTTGATACACTCAAACGAAATATTATTTCCGAACTTGACAATACGAATGCACAACTTCAAGCTATACAATGTGAAGTTAAGCATTCGAGTGATCTACCCAAAGCAGTTGAACAGCTGAACAATCTGAATCACTCCGGAAAGTTCCCAGCCATGGACGAATTACACAGTCAAGCAACACAGCTCATGAAGCATGATATACAAAACGTTTCGACAATACAAAATGTTGTCACTGAGATCGAGAGTAAGTGTAACAAGATCAATGAAGATATAAGAGATGAAAATTTGAAGTTATCTGATATTATATTTGCGTGGAATGAATTCCAGGAAAGTAAAGATCGCGTTGTTAAAGAAATAGGAAAAATTGATAAGAGTATCGATATTCTAGAAATGCCGAATGATATCATACAAGCTAATGTGAATTTCGAGAAAGCTAAGAAAGCAATGGAAGCGATAAAGAAATCCAGAACTACGCTAGAAAAGGCTGATACTAAGGGACAAACTGTCATTAGAAAATCAGAAAATATCACAGGTATCGAATCCGAAGTGAGAAGAGACCTACAGATTGTTAATGATGTTTGGTCTAAGATATATGAAAGAATTCTGAAAACAGTGCAAAAAACTGAGTCACAAGCTACAATTTGGAAGCATATCGAAGAAGCCAAAACCACTTTACTGCAATGGATCGGCGAACAGAATGAAGTTCTAATCAAAGCAGCTGAAAAACCAAATGAACTCAAAGCTGCTGCTTCGAAATTGTCTAAGTACAGAGAAGAATTACCAGCTCAGCAAAGGCTCCACCAGAGCATACCTCACAAATATTCACAGCTGATCAAGTTGACAGATGATAAAGATATACCAACTATAGAAGTTTTGATTGACCTTCTCAATGATGGATTTTCTGAACTAGAAAGTAACGCGCTTAAACTAGAATCTTTGAGTTCAGAATTCGGGGAGGGTGAAAAAACTATCAGAGAAGATATCAAAGAAATTGTTACTAAAGTAACAAGTATCAGAGAAGAGGTAATAAAATGCGAAGATCTCTCAGGCGATAACAATGAAATTGCAGGGAGGCTATCAAAAGTACGTGAATCGATCCAAAACCTACAAAACCTCCAGCCACATATCAAGAAAGTTGAAGAGGATATCCAAAAAATGAAGAAGACCTATCCAGGATTTGGCGATTCAATTTCTAAGGAACAACAGTTGCTGAAGAAACGATATGACGGAATTATAATGCATGCTGGTAAAATCGATAATTCATTGTCATCGTTTCTCAAAAAATTCCATAACGAGAAATATGGTGCTCTGCAGAGAATCATATCATCCCAAAGAGAAAAAGTTCAGTGGTGTTTACCTGAACCGTCAAGTGATAAGTATAATCTCCAGGTGAAATTAAATGCTCTAGAAGTTATACCGGCATCGCTTTCAGATTGTGAAACACGCAAAGACGAACTAATCAATTCTATCGAAGTTTTGAAGCAAATTGAAACCAGTGATTCCCTCAAACTCATTGAAGCTGAAAAATATCATCTTCTGTTAGATTTTGAAAATCTCAAAAAAGAGTATCTGGATACTAAAAATATTCTTGATAGCAATATTTCTCTACATGAGCAATATGAAACCCTATCCGAGAGTATTTCTGACTGGCTGAAGAATACAGAAAATGAAGTGAAGACTGAGAGTAATTTACAAATGGATTTGAACAGTCTCGATCAGAAAATTGATGGAATCACCAAACTTCTACAAGAGGTCAAAGATTATGGAGGTGAAATGCAAAAATTGAACCCACTCAGTGAACAATTGATGAAACAAATGCCAGAAACGAGAATATCACAATACGTTCAACATTTGAACAATCGCTATAATGCTATCAACAAATTCCTCGTACACTACCTTGAGAAACTCAATGAGCTCAAGAACTACAAATCTGTTTATGAACAGTGTATCCAGGATGTGGAGAAATGGTTAGTGCAGGCTGAGAGCGAAGTAGATTCATTCTCTAAAATCGCCAAGAAACCGAATAGATCGACCCTGGAGGCTCTTAAAAACTTCGCGAAAGAAAAAGATATAGGTCAGGCTCTCTTAACAAGAGCAGTAGAACATGGAGAAGCTCTATTTCCTGGTGTGACACCAGAAAACAGGGACAATATTAGAGCAGAACTGAGGACTCTCAGAGACAAATCAGAAATTTTGATCGACAAGGTCAATTCCATATACAAGCAAGTTGAGGCAACTCTCATGCAACGACATTCATTTGATGACAGCTTGTACCAGGTCAAGTTATGGATAGATGAAGCTGAAGGGAAATTGGGAGATGATATCAAACTTGATTCAACTCTTCTCGATAAAAAGCAGACCCTTCATAATTACAAAGTCTTGTCACAAGATGTCAATCTTCACAAAAATATCTTGAAACAGTTACAAGATAAGATCGGCAATTTAGGCGATTCAGATGCCGAATTCAAGTTGGAGGAGAATTTACAAAAATACAACAAGCTCGCCGAAGAAGTTCAAAATCGAATAGAAACCTCCGAAGGATTTATAGCTAACCATGAGGCATATAACCAGACCATTGAGAAGTGCCATGATTGGTTGAGTGCCCTGACTTCTGAAGCAGCTCTACTAGTTGACGAATCATCTTCTGAAGTTCCAGAAACAAAATTAGCGATAGTTGAAAATTTACTATCTCAAAGAGATGAAGGTGATAAAATTTTGGCTTCTTGTAGAGAGCAGATGGAAACAGTGTTGACTCAAACTGCACCAAATGGTCATCATGTACTAATACATAGCTTCGAGGAACAAGAGAAGGCTTGGAGATTATTTTTGGAATTATGTCAGGACGCTCAAAAAAAACTCAATGAAATCCATGATAAACATACTGAGGTTACTAGGATCATGGATACTCTGGAAAATTGGTTGAAGCTGAAAGAAAATGCAGTGAAAGATCAGAGTTTGAAGAATACCGTGGAAACAAAAAAAATCCATTTGGATAAACTGAAAGCATTGGAACATGACATACTGATCAAAGAACCAGAAATAAATGAATTTGTCACCATCATGAAGAATTTGAAGACTGATGCAAGAGTTTCTCAATTGACTACAAGGTATCAAACTCTGAGAGGTATTGTGAAAGAAAATATCAATCGATATGAAAGTTTCGTTCAGGAACACCAAGAATTCAACAACACCTATAACCAATCCCTGGCTTGGCTATCGAATAAAGAAGACGAACTACAGAACTTATGCCAAATAGTCGGTGATCTTGGTGTTCTTCAAACTAGGCAGGAAGAAATCAGAGAATTATCTGATGAGAGAAATCAGAAGATAGATGAATTTGATAATCTGATCGAAAAAGGTGAAAAGCTATATGCTCATACTTCACCAGATGGTCGCGAAATAATACGGCAACAACTCAGGAATCTGAGGACTATATGGGATACATTCGGCGATGACCTACAGAATGCCACTAATAAGCTTGAGCAATGTTTGATACAGTTCTCTGATTTCTCAGCTACTCAGGAACAACTTACAAAATGGCTGAAAGATGTTGAGAAAGCAATGCACCAACATACAGAGTTGAAGTCAACCCTCCCAGAGAAAAGAGCTCAACTTCAGAATCACAAAATCATGCATCAAGAAATAATGGCTCACCAACAATTGGTAGAGTCTGTATGTGATAAAGCTCAAAATCTAGTAGATCAAACTCAGGATAGATCTCTCAATATCTATCTAAAATCTATAAAGCAATTGTTTCTCAATATTGTCACTAAATCTGAGGAGTTATTGAAGAACCTGAAAGATTGTGTGGATAAACATGTTGATCACAATAAACTCGTGTCAACTTTCAAAGAATGGATCAATGAACAAAATGAACTAATACGTGAGTATAACGATATTAGTGGTGAAAAAGCTGAAATTCATAAAAGAATATCGAACTTGGAATCCATCAAGAAGAATAATGAAGAGAATGGAGCCAAGCTTCTGGAAGGCATAGAGAAACATTCATCTGTGGTTGCTAAGACTACAGCTCCTAAAGGGATCGAAGATCTGAAAAAGGAACTCCAGGAATTGGAAAGCCTCCACATCCAAAATATAACGGATATTGAGAGATATCTCACAAAACAAATGGTAGCTGCAAAGCAATGGCAAGAATTCGAGACAGATTTAGATAAACTCAATCAATGGTTTAAAGTAGCAGAATCTAATTTGAGAGATCAACCTCTACAAGTCACCTCGCAAGAAAAGCAGAACAAGCTGGAATTACTTCAGAAACAACGAGGTGTGGTTACTGCAAAAGAAAAAGAAGTTGACGCATTCATAGACAAGAGTCACACGCTATTGCAGAACAGTGGATCTCAAAGGATTAAACCAATCACAACCCAGATAAGCTATAAATTCCAGAATCTGCATGGCATCACTAAAGACGTTATTACTAGGTGGCAAAATATTGTAGATGATCATAAGAAATTTGACTCCAAGGTGTCTGAACTATTGCAATGGATAGAACCTCTGGAAGAGTGCCTGAAATCTGTGAAAGAGGGTAAATTATCGGACAATACGGAGGCTACTGAAAAGTTACAATTCCTATTGTCTGAAAAAGAGCAGGGAGAACACAGAATAAATTCTTTGACTATACTGAGTGAGAGGATTTTACCTGACACCGCCACAGAAGGGAGAGAGATTGTGAGAAATCAAGTTAAGAGTATAAGGGAGAGATGGGATCACCTACTCGAAGGTATGTACCTAATCAAAGGGTTGCTAAATGAATTTCAATAACATTATTTTCTTTCTTTCATTCACTCGGGACACTATTATATCAATACAACAATCAGATTCGTTTTGTTAAACGTTTATGAACACGTTCAAGTATTTCTTTCAATCAATTTCATTATTTTCTACTTGTTCACAACCATTGCAAAAATGGATATATGATCATAATAGTTAAAGTTTTGATAATTCATTCATATATTCTCCCATTTTCAAATAGGTACCACACAACAGCAGAAATTATTAGACGTTCAGAGCCTACAACTTTCAAACTATCAGGACATATTACAACAAGCATTGCTTTGGTTGGGTTCCATCGAAAACCAAGTACGAGCTGATCCATCATCATGGACATCCATACAGGAGGTCAGAGGTAAACTTCTGAAGCACAAGACAACGTATCAAGAGATCCAAGCTCATAAGAGATTCATCGAAGGTGAGATTGATTGGTTGATTGTCTTTATTACCTCAAGAAACATTATTCTTTACAATAGGGATAAAGTTAAAAAAATATATATAACTTGATAAATCAGAACAATAATGATTGTGTTCAGGTGGATATTTTTTCATTCTAGTAAAACTATTCTTCTCACAAGATTAGTTTAGTCGCGCAATTCAGCAAATATTAACAATGTCAATTATATTCGTGCTTACTTGTATTAATTCTATCAATATATGAATCGATATATTTTCATATACCTTCCTCATAGAACGTGTGATTATACCAGGAGGTGACAATGATTGCGGTCATATTGGAATATTAGGAAAATGATTCAAAAATGATTTAAAATATCACTGTTCAAAACTCGATCGGGAATTATATTTCATATTGCTTGTTTGTCGTTCTTCCGTTTTCTGCGCTTCCTATACAAATAAAACTAATATGGACTCTCTTCAATTCGAGGTGTGACTGAGAAAGGCCACAGTTTATCCCAGATAACCAGTAATAATGAGAAAAAACAAGAAATCGAGAACAACGTGAAATCTGTAAACGAGCGTTACCAAAAGGTTGCAGCAGCTGCCCAGGAAAATATAAAGGAGTTGGAAGGCTGTTTAGAAACCTACCAACAATTTTACGATTCACACAAAGCACAGCTAGACGAACATAAGCAGTTTTGGGACAAACTGAATAACTACATCGATTATAGTGGTAGCAGACAAATAATTGAGAAAAGACTCAACAATATTGTTGAGGTACATGAAAGCTTACCAGCAAATATAATTAGACTTCGTGAATTGCAACAATACGTTGACAATAAAATATCATCTTTGCCGAAGAGATCCCAAGAGCAAATGCGCAAAGACGTTGACAGCCTCAAATTTGACCAAGAAAAAATCACGAATACTCTGCTGGATATCAGATCATCCTTGGAAAATAGGTTGCAACAGTGGGATGACTATGAAACGGCGTTGGACAAACTGGTGTCTTGGCTAGCTGAAGCTGAGATGTCACTGACGAATTACGCGCTGAAGTCCAATATTGAAGAAAAACAAGAGCAGTTAGAAAAATATCAGGTGGGTACTGTGAATTCATTTCAGTCAACTATTGAAAGAGTCCCTACCGATAACATAATGGTATATATTGTTTAACGAGCACCGAATGATAGCGATTCCCCACGAGAATGAAGTTTGCAGCATGAGCCGTAGGCGAATGCTGCAATCATTCGAGTGGGAAATCAGAATTCCGTGCGAATTATACACTATAATTTTTCTACGGCTGTAACAGAGAACAGCGACAATTTTTATTTTTTAGTCTTGTAGCCATCTGATTTCGTCTCAAGTAATGCTCATCTATTTGACAGAGCTGTCATTGCTTGGAAATTGACATTCCATGGGCGATGAGTCTTTTTTAATTATAACACAATGGAGTCATTGTGATACCAGATAAGGAAATGAAATTGATGACATAGTACAAAGTACCTCATTGATGTTTCGAACACAGTAAAACAAGAGCAATTTTGTGTTATAGCCGTAGAAAATGGTTTGTTGCCATGTGAAACATATAATTTGTTCTCCAAATGTTATGAAACCAATTTTTGTGTAATTTTTTTCATTGAAAACTCCATGATTTTGTATTCACCCAATGTCAGTGTCAATTTTGATTATACCGATATTAATCAAATTACTTGGAACGTTGCATAGCAACAAACTTTTCCTGCTTAGGCAGAGAAAGTACATCTTTCCTGCCTGTTCAGTATCAGAGAAAAGCCACTTTATATATCGTTTGGAGAAAACATGAATGAATTGTCTTCATAACTTGGAGGACTCTCTGAATTGTTGACTGATTAGAATTCTTGATGGATAAGTTCATTTCAATCATTTTGTTCGTCTATAGGAACTAGCTAGAGTGATTGAGTCACACAAAATTGACATGAAGGAGTTCGTTTCTATTACAGATCATTTGGAGCAAGTAAGGAAGAAACTCGAATATTTCTATGTTATACACAACTTTATCTCTTTCCACGCTATCTTCCTGTCTTCTTTGTCTAGTGTTCGGCTTGTTGTCTATCTAAGTAGGTGGTGGCGCTCTGTTCTTCGTTGGCATCAGTTTCCTTTCACAATTTCCTTCAAATCATTTTCTATTAATGATATGATTTAGCAAGAAATATGACAAGTATTCGACTTACAGATAAAGTATGTACATGAGATTCGCGATAATTATGCAGGATAGGTTCGTCAATATTTGAGGAACCCACCTTTGAAAATGAAAAAACATCACGTTTCAGAATTTTTCTGTCATCTCTCTGATCCACGAGATGATGAATTCGTGATTTTAATTTTGGTGCATACTGTATATATTTTTCACGTACACATCGAGTATAGGTGAACCTCAAACTTTACCAATCAATAGCTCTACGTTCACCAAAATCTACCTGACTGATGAGTTAAACAGTAACAAATCGATCAATATTATATTTTCGTTTCGTTTCAATAATATTCTTGTCATATTTCTTCAATCTGTAAGCTATAGGTACACTATCGTCCGCTGCAATCAGAGAGCTCATCATAGCGTCCAACCGCGTCATGTTCTCTGCAGACGAGTGTACCTATGATTTACCTATTTACCAATCTTACAATATTTCAGGCTCTCATCTTGAATTTGCGTCAAACTGAAGCCGAATTCGATAAGATGTCTGACGATTCAGCCGAATTAATCCAAACTAGCGGAGACACTAGAATTTCCATCAATGTTCAACAGATGATATCCAGATTCCAGTCTGTGCAAGCAACTGGGAGGGAAATATTGAAAAAATGCGAACAGGCCGTAGCAGACCACAAAATATATAACGATAAGTATAAGCAGTGTTCTGATTGGATATCGTCTGCCCAAGTCAGGTACGAAACAATCATAATAATTATCTGATATAAATATTATTTATCAGCTTGTTTTGTTATTGTCAGATTTGATGACTGCAAGAAGAACATCGAGAATGCCACACGGGATAGTCTAATAGAAAAGGGTAGAATTCTCGAAGAATTATCTTCCCAACAACCTATAGCTACCTCAATGTTGCACACCACACTGGAAGCTGGCGAAAAACTCATGTCTTCTACCTCTCCAGAAGGCAGGGACATCATCACCAACCAATCGCAAGAACTTCGCGAAGCTATGGAACAATTATTTGACGGCATTCATGGAGCAGTCAGAGATCTAAAAACGAAGCAAACCAAATGGTCGGGCTTTGATGAATGCTTAGCTAGAACTCTTGATTGGATCAAAGACATTGAAGTAAAGCTACCACATGATATCCAATTGAAAGCTTCTTTGGATGAGAAAGCAGTTCAACTTCAAATTTATAAAGATTTGCTACAAGACGTTTCATCTCACCAACCAAATATAGTCGATCTGAAAGAAAGAGTGGAAACTTTGCCCGTGAAAAATGATCAAACTATAAACCAACTAACAGGTATAGTTCTGCAGTACGATAAGGTACTCAAAAGAGCACAGAATTTCGTCGAAAGATATGAAACCATCGTGAGTGATCATCAACAGTACTCTAAAGCTGTACTAGAAGGAGGAGAATGGATAGATGCCACTCTCAATACAGTTTCCATGCTCAGTGAAGCAGATATAGAAAGGACAAGTCTTCGATCTAACCTGGAAAGACTGAAGGTGAGGTTGTCCTTGTATATATATCATATAATTTTCTAATCTGTTTTATTTCAGAATCTAAAAGCGACTCTTCCTGATGAAGAATCTCGAATTATGGGTATTAAATATCTAGGAGATAAAGTGATACCTGGTACGATAGATTATGGCCAGACAAATGTGCGTTCGCAAATTGATGCCTCCCAACAGGAATGGGCTGGCCTTGCAGCGGCTATTCAGAAAGCGATTACACTTTTGGAAGACAAATTAGCCCACTGGAATGAATATGACTCAATCAAAGAAACGTGCCTCGAATGGATCCAAAATACTGATAACAAACTCCACACAATTGACCTCAAAGCAACAGCTGCTGAGAAGAAAGATCAATTAGATTTCCTCAAATTACTTCAAGGTGAAATCAGAGCAAAGGAATTCGAAATTGATCAGGTTACTGAAAGAGCTCAACAACTCAACAAAGGACTAACTGGCCGACCATCTCGAATATCAGAACTTGGAGTGAAATATCAACTGATCTCTCAGAAGATTAAGGATCTCAGTTCGAGATGGCAACAATATGTCACAAGCCACGATGATTTCGATTCTCAAGTTGAACAATGTCAGCAATGGATGTTAGAAATCAAGGAGAAATTAATTTACTGCTCTGAAATCAGTGGTGCCTCCCAAACAGAACTCGGGCATAAACTTGAAACCATGCAGGAATTGATATTAAAAAAGGAAGAAGGATTCTCGAAGATGCAGGCACTAGTAGAGTTTGCCCAGATTATTTTAGCTAACACTGCCCCACATGGTCACGAAGCAATCAACCAGACTTTATCCAAATTGCAAGAAGATTGGTCTAGCATAGCATCTTCGATGGTAGAGACCAAAGACTTGCTAGATGATGCCATGACAAAATGGGTACACCTACTAGGAGAAATAAAATCACTGGAAAGAAATATCGAGTCGATGGAAACTCAGAATAAAGAACTCTCAGAGTTCCAAACATCTCTTTCTGAAAAGAAAATACAACTTGGTAAAATAAAATCTCTTGAAGAGAGAGTCCGTTGCGAAAAAATTGAAGTGGATAATCTGAGGAGTCAGGCAGCAGAAATTTTGCGCACAAAGAGAGAAGGTAGTGAAGCTGTTAATGCTCAGAAAATGTTGGAGAGATTCGACCAAATAGCCCAAAATATATTTGTGAGTATCACCTATACGAATTATTTTCTATCAATATGGTAACATTTTACTTTTCAGAGATTACTTCATGAAAGAGAAGCGCAATACAGGGATCATAAGACTTACAAAGAAGCATATGACGAAGTTCAAGCTTGGATGACCAGAGCACAAGAGAAAGTTCCCCAATTGCAGAAACTTATGAGTGATAAGATAACGATTGATATGCTTGCTGGGCCTCTAGATCATTTACTAAATAAGAAGGCTCAGGGAGAAATTCTGTTGGAAAATTTGGATCATTGTGCTCAAGTTGTTTTGCCGAATACAAGTTCTAAAGGACAGGAATCTATTAATAATGATATAAGAGCTCTAAAGGAATCATTTGAAAGATTATTCAAAGATTTGAAACAACAACGCGAACAACTTGAAGCAGTTCTAGCTAACTGGCGAGAATACAAAGAAGAATATGAAAAGGTATCTGACTGGCTGCAACAAATTACGATTCTTACAAAGAATCAGAAGATCGCTCTGATGTCTACAGTAGATGAAAAGAAGAAACAAGTGAAAGATGTTCAGGATATATTAGATCGTTTGGTACAAGGTAAAACGCTAATCGAGAAACTACATGATAAAGCGAGCCTTCTACTGAAATCGCCTCTAGAAACTCATGTTAATAATCAGCTTCAACAGCTGAATTCAAGATATCATGTTGAGAAAAATCTGGCTAAGGATGTCCTCAATAAAGTTGAGACCAATTATGAACAACATAAAGAATACACAGAAAACTTGGAGAAAACAAGAACTTGGATAGATGATGCTCGTGAACTAATTAGGAGCTGCGCAGATGCTTCGTCTCACAGCAATAAAGATACTTTACAGTCACATCTCAACCAAATTCAACAACTCATCCAAAAACGTGAAGATGGCCAGAACTTAGTTCATGCAACTGTAAATTGTGGTGAAAAAGTTTTGAGAAATACCAGATCAGATGGACGTGAAGCTATCAATAATGAAATAAAAGAAATACAAGGCGATTGGGACAGAATAACGAAGAAGATGTCTGCGGCTAAAGTCAACTTGGAAACAGCTCTCCTTCAATGGGCTGACTACGATAGCTCATACACCCAACTGCAACAGTGGATAACTGATCGTGAAGCTAAGCTCCAACAAGTAACAGAGCCGAAAGTGTTCAAGACTAAGAAAGGTGGACTGAGTAGCTTGCCAATTGGAGAAAGAAAAGCAACTCTTCGTGAAACTGGTAGCATTGTACAAGATATAGTATCATTTGAGCCTATGATACAATCTGTGACATCTAAGGCAGAAGATTTGAAACAAGCTGCACCAGCTTCAGAAATATCAGCCAAGTATGAAATACTCTCTAAGCAGGCTCAGGAATTATACGCCAAACAGAAGGAAGCTGTCGAGAAACATCAAGCATTTGTTGACGCAGCTAATGATTTCGTCCAATGGATTCGAACCGCTAAGGAGCGATTAGGAAAATGTTCAGAACCAACTGGAGATAAAGAAAGCCTTGCTAGTAAATCATCACAACTCAAAGTACTCATGAATGAAGTCCCTGATGGACAGAAGAAGCTAGATACTGCCGTTGATCAAGCTGATAAAGCTCTTCCACTTGCAGATGATATGGACAGAGAAATTATAGAAGAAGAAGTTGGGCTTCTACAGGAAGATTTCGATACTTATCTCGATAATCTCAATCATACGAAGAGTCTGCTGGAAATTGGAATAGTTAAATGGACAGAGTATGAAGAGCAGTATCGAGACGCTCTAGAATGGCTAAGTAAAACTGAGACGTTAGTTAGGTCATACAATAAGCTTCAAGATAGTTTGGAAGAAAAGCGATCAGTTTTGGAACAATTCCAACTCCATTTGCAGAGCCTATTCGACTGGCAAACGGAATTAGATAAACTCAACAGGAGAGCTCAAGTATTATTAGAAACTTGCGCTGATACTAGAGTTAGCAACGCAATCACACAAATTTCTACGAAATACAACGCCATTTTATCTTTGGCCAAAGAAGTAATGAGAAGATTGGAACTGCATTATCAAGAGCACCAGCAGCATAGTACTCTGTATCAGGAATGCCAAGACTGGGTAGATAGAACAAGAGATAAACTTGGTGGTTGCGTAGATTTCAATAATTCTTTATCAGAAATCAACAATAAATTGCAGATAGTGAAAAATATAAGATCATCTTTGGAACAAGGTCAGAATAAGTTACGCTATATACAAGAGCTGAAAGAACGTGTTATAATGAACACCGAACAATCAGGTGCAGCCAAGATCAAAGAAGATACTGAAAATTTGAAATTAGACCTTGAAAGACTATTGAATGAAGTGACAGAAGCCAGGAATAGATTACAAACTAGGGCCAATCAGCTGGAAGATATTGACAAGATTCACAAACAGTTAATAGAATGGCTGCAAGAACAAGAAAACCAAGTACAGTTCGATGATGATTATCTCAATGAATTAGGTGAGAAGAAGGCAAGGCTTGAGAAATACAGAACAATCTATAGGGAAGTCGATATTCATAATGATTTGGTAGATAAACTTCATGCAAAGTTGTCAGAAGATGCATCATTGATAACAACGGAATATGAAAGTGCTATGCAAAGATATAATGATCTGAAACAAAAGTTGTCATCTTCTATAGCTCAACTTGAATCGCACGTAGCTGATCATGAACAGTACAAGGCCTCTTATAACAAAGCATACGAGTGGATAAGAGACTCACAAGTTCGAATACAGAACTGTTCAAATTTGCATGAAGAATTAGAAAAGATTTTAGAAAAAGAAATAACTATTTCTGAAATAAGTGAATCACTGAAGAAATGTGATGATTTAATTCATAATACGATCGAGCTGAGTATAACTGTGATGAAAACAACAGGAGAAGATGGCAAAGATAATATTCGTCATGAAATCGATCAATTGAATATCGACTGGGAAGGACTACAATACATCTGTTGTGACACGCAAAAATCGCTGAATAATTGTAAGGAAGCTTGGATTGAGTATAACTCTAAATATGACGAAATGAAAGAATTTATTGAAAAATATCAACTACTTCTGGCTGAGAGACAAATTACTGAAAACAACACTACCGAAGATTTGCAGAAATGTCGCGATCTTTTAGATGAAATAATTACTATGAAACCTAGAATGGACGACTTAACTGATAACTGTGAGACACTCATAGAAATAACGGCCATTGGATGGATTCGAGATAAAACTGTTAAGTTACAAACTGAATATACTCATATTTTGACCAGTGCGCAAGGTGTAGTGTCAAAAGTTGAAAAGAATTTGTCTGACCAGACTGAATATCTGAAGATCAAATCAGAATTGGAGACCTGGTTACATACAGCCCATACTTCGATACAAGCCTGCGTGGGAGAAACTGATGAGAATACTATCAGAGCAAACCTGCAAGTCGTTCGTGATATTTCATCCAAAATGGGAGAGGGCCAAGATTTATTATCGAAGCTACAAGAAGCTTTCAACAAAGCTATTAATACTTCTCCAGCCGATAAACAGAACGAACTGAGGGAGGATATGACTAGCCTTAGGAATAGTTGGGATCAAATCAATATGGATATAAAATCTATTCAAGCTCAACTCAAAGCTGACCTAGCTCGATGGGAAGAATACAATAATAACAAAGATAAATTTGATTCATGGTTGAATGCTAAAGAAAAGAGCCTGAATGAGAGACCATCAACCAAAGGCGAGTTGAGTGAAATCAAAACTCTTTTAGAACGTTACAAAAATTTGCAAATGGAAATTGACAACAAGCAGGTTGATCTTATCAGATTGCAATCCGAATCACAAGAACTAAGTTCTTGGGCCCAAAAACCAGTTCTAGGAGAAGTAGAAAAGTTGGAAGCTAGGCATATCAAACTTGTGGAGACTTGTAAGGTACTGAAGCAGTCAATTGAGGAAGAGTTGAAAGAGTATAACTATTACCACCAGAAGCTGCAAGATACAGAAAAATGGTTGCTTCAAATTTCCTTTCAACTTATGGCTCATAACTCCTTGAATATCAGCAATAGGGAACAGACTGAAGAACAGCTTGCCCAACATGAGATTCTTTTGAATGAAATACAAAAGTACCAATCCACTCTCGATGATATAAAAGATAGTGGAATAGGACAAATAAAGAAGTACGTGAGAAGTACACCGTCTATTGAAGATATCATCCAAAAACAATTGACCAACGTACAAGATAGTTACAACTCTCTGTTACAAACGGCTATACAGATTAAAAACCGACTCATTGATTCTCTTTCCAAGTTCAAAGAATATGAAGATACTCTAGAAAGTATCATGAAAAATCTTGATGAGTATGAACTCATAGTGTCTGAGGAAATCGAGAAACCTATTGAGAAATTAGAGACAGCTCAGCTTCAATTAGAAACAGCCAAGGTGAGATATATCGAATTTATTCCATTTTATGTTTTCAAAAATCAATTATTTCAGTTGCTCCATAATAAGCTGCAGAATGAAAAAGCCCGATTGGCTTTGGCTGTACAAGCTTGTGAAGCTGCCACAGCTACGATTAGTCGACCAAGTAGTCCCAGGGATGCCTTATTCCCTCCAATACCAATGAGAGAACTTGAGTGTAGAGCCAAACTCGAAAATCTTATCGATCAGGTTTGTAGGAGTATTTGTGATTTTCAAATTAGAATTCGTTAATGGTGGTTGTGGGAGTAGATTATTTTGGAAATGTGAATAAAGAATGAGACAGACATAATTTGAACGCACATCGTGATCCGTGATGATTGAACAATTTGAACATGAAGATTCTTTTTTTCGTACATGTGATGGAATTCTAAGATAGTTAGCAACATTTTGATATCGATTTATAAGAGTTGATAATAACGCCACACTTCATTTGGTTATTGAACTATTTGTTTGTCTTTTTGTTCAAATGTCATTGTCATATTATGTGATTAGATGTAGTGCATGCATTCCATTCTCTTGAATACAATTGAGAAATCCACTATTCTGTTTAGTGAATCAATAAGCTCTTCGGTAAAGGTTGAGAGATACCAAGTAAGGAACCCAACAAATAGTGTTTCTGCCCTTCAAATATTATTCTAGAATGATTTATTAGAACATTAACCATCATGGATCACCACTTACCTATTAGCACACGATTTGTACTAATTTATTGTTGTTTGTAGTTTAGATTATATCCCGATACCCACACTCCTGCCATTTCGATAAGCACTCAGTTTTTGTTTATTGTTTTTTTGCATGTTTTTTTGCTTTGCACATAGACCCAAACGGAGTCAGCAGCTTCAGAACAGAGTAAACTGAAATTGCTTTTGGACCAACTAACGGCGTGTGGTTTTGTTGAAAAACTAAAGGCACAGATCGATAAGGTAAGGTTCTACAGTTATCAGCTGACGAAATTTCAGAAAGTTATTAAATATGTTTTGATCAAGTAACTTATCATACAAAAACATTGTTTGAAACAAGCTTTTTCCATCAGGTACAATCTCATCTCAGCGACTTGACCACATCAGTTGCCGAGTTTGAAGAGAAAGAGAAACAAAGATCAGAACTTCGCAGATGGATACAAACTCAAGAATCCCTCATCAACGATTGGAAGAAACGCCCTGTGAAATTCAGACAAGATGCTGCGAAACAAGAACTCAACAACATGAATGATCTCTTGATATCCATTGGTCAACGAAGAAGTCATCTCAATACAGAGCTAACGGCATTTGCCGATGAAAATGGGGAGCTCGAGAAAATGCTGAATAATCTCGAAAATGATCTCAGTAGCCTTATCGCTCACAAGCAATCACAACTTGAAACAATTGATGAATATAGACAGCATGTGCAAGTTATCACTAACTGGTTCGATAATCTTGGCAAAAGAATAGATGCTATCGACAAAGGATCTGGCTTGAGTTGCGAACAGAAACAAACAGCAGTAACTGATGTCAGAGCAGAATTCGACGACCAAGGACCAAAACGGTTAGATGAAATCAAAAGATTGGCTAATACTGTTGTTGACCTAGTGAACAATTTGGACTCGCAACAAATTGAGGAGCAAACTAAATCAATTGAGAGGAGGTATAACGATATCTCTAAGAGATTACAAAGAAAACAACAGGTGTTAGATACAACAAGAAAAGGCATTGAAGAAACTAGAACAGAAATAGAAAATGCCAGAGCTTGGATTACAGAGAAGCTGGGTAGTCTACGGAAGCCAAAACCACTTGGATTCGAGAGCAGGAAATCTGATGATAAAATCAGTACTTTGAACGATCTTCTCAAAGAAGCTGGTAATAAATTGGTCCTTAGAGATACCATGACTAAACGTATCAGTAATATGACAAACGAACTAGAACCCACGGAGTTCAATCAACTGGATAGCGCTTTGAAGAACTTAGGAAGTGAACAAGAACAGTTGGTTGGTAAGATCAAATCAGAAATTGAGAGAGTTACAGCTGCTTCTAATACCAGAAAAAATCTTGAATCTAATTTAGAAAGGGTGAAGGCATGGCTGAAAGCGAAGAATTCAGAAGTTCACAAGCTGTCAGGATACTTACCTCTCTCAGCAAATCAAGTAGAAAGAGAAATAGCTATTTACGCAAAACATGATACCGACATTAAAGAGTTCAACGATGGTGATCTGAATGATTTATTGAAACTTGGAAATAGTGTACTGAAAGATTGTAATCAGAAAGACAAAGAACGTTTGCAACATTTACTTGATGATGTTAAAGAAGAATACGATAATTTGAAGCAAGAAGCTGAGCAGAAAATTCAAGCTTTACAAGACCTCCTTCAAGGTAGGAGACAATTTGAAGGTGCCATTGAAGATTGTGTCAACTGGCTTAAAGAAGCTGAAGTCGCTACTTCTTCCGAAGTTCGTACGGCGAGTTTAGGAGTCCTAGAAGAACAGTTTGTCAAGTATGAACAACTGGAAATTGATGCTAAGAGAATACAAGCAGATATTGAGAGAATTTCAGAACAAAGCAAATCTATAATACCGACAATCACTGAATCAGATAAGATAACTTTGAATGATACTCTGAGTAGTTTGCGTGATCGCCACAGCAGAATATCAGCTATCATACAAGAGAGAAGAAACGCTTTGCAGCAAAATATAACAGAAATCAAAGATGCAAATGCTAGGATCGAAGAGAGCAAGCAAGTTATAAAAGACATTCAAAATCAATTACAGGAACTCAATAAACCATTAGGACCTAAAGTTGAGGATGTTCAACATGTGCTGTCTACATATGAACGAATTCTGAGAGATCTCAAGGATAACAAATCTAAGCTTGATGATATTCCAGTAGCTAACTCATCCGAGCTACAGAGCGTTGTGAACCTACAAGATGAGCTGATCAAGTCAATTGAAGATCAAATAGCCAAACTACGTCAGCTATTGTTACTTAGAGAACAATACTTGGCTCTCATCACTGAGATCATGACTTTTATAACGAAATATACCGAGATCATACGTGATATTGAGAGATCAGGTGGCACTATTGAAGAGAAGATCAAAACGTACGATGATGTCATCATTAAAATACAAGAATGTGAAGCTCTGTTAGCTTCAGCTGCAGATAAAGGCCAGCAAATTGCAGCGGACGGATCTGCTCAGGACATAAACACAATCACAGAACAAATACAGTCTCTTAAACAGTCATTACAAAACCTCAGGAGAGCTGTTGAAAAACAGAGGCAAGAACACGAGCACACTGCAGCTGAGCATAAGAAAATGGCAGCAGAGCTGGAAGAAATTTTAGATTGGTTGCACGATAACGAAGCTGCGGTTAGATCCAGACCTTTGCTAAGTAGAAACGTTGAAAGTGTTGATAAAGAGTTGCATAATCACCAAGAACTAGCAGAAAAAGTAAACATTCACTTGACTAAGATAAAGAAAATCCAAGAAACTACCAGAGTAGATGACAGCTTACCAGGGTCTTTGCAAGAGCAATTACAAGAAGCTAATTCTCTACAAACCTCTTTACCAAGAGAACTTGAAGAGCGTCGCAAATACTTAGAAACGAATAGAACATTCAGAGAAGAATATGCTAGTTTGAAGCAAAAATTGCACGACTGGGTGAAAGAAGCTGAGATTCGTCTGACAGCAAATAAGGATGGTGTTGACTATGAGAACATTTCCCAAGATTTGGAGGAGCATAAGATTTTCTTCAGCACAGAGAGTACAATGAAAGAATTAGTCTCGCAGACTATTCAGCATTCTGCTGACAAAATTTACCCGAGTTTGACTCCCAATGAACAAGAAGAGTTAAGTAGGGAACAACAGCAACATACTCAGACTCTGAAGAACACACTCAATTCGGCAAAATCTCAGAAAGCTCAGCTGGAGCAGGACGCTGTGTTGTGGAAAGACTATTGCCAGGCTCTGGACAAGGTCAAGGCAGTCATCGCTAGGACAATGTTCACTGATGAACCTGTTTCTACATTGGCTGGATTGCACTTCAATATCCAGAAGATTTCCCATGCACTCAATGATATCCAGGTGAGTTTTGATCTAATGTTATATCTCATGTTCTGTATGGGTCGTATTCGACGCGTCATCGAACTGGTACTAGTAATAATATAAAATAATCGACCTTTGTGAATATATTACGCATTCATGAATAAATGTTTCAATCAACATATTATTCAAACGAGGTGGAAATCACCTGGTCTAGAAACTAGAAACGTGACTTGCCTATTGGATTAGATAATACTAGAGGATATCGTTCAGTCAGGTGGTCATGAATGGAGAAACGAAATTTCAATATGATTCAGGTTGATTTATCGCATCTATCCTGTTCATGAAGGTGAAGAAGCAACTGTAAATTGAATTGAATATCAAAAATTGTGACAATTAGAATGCCGCTCATTATTGTACATAATTCGATCAATAGAAATATTTCACTTCCATGTTATACCATATAAAATATCATCCGAAAGATCCTAACTACCATTCCCAGTGAAGAAACAAACTGTTTATAAGTGGTGACGTTTATACCAATATTATCTACTTTATTTATGAATGATTTTGGATTAGTAATTCGAATGATTCTGGATTTAAATTAATTTCCGGTCAAAGGGATCACCATATTTATTTGAGAATTCAAAGCATAACTTACTATAAGGCTCGATTTGCGTACCAATTGTTGAATTTGTGATCATGTTTCTTATCTAAGGGTAAGATTAGGGTTCCTACCTTCATAATACAATATCAATATAATTTTCTAAAAAAAAAAAATCTGCAAGAAATCTTTGGAATAATTTTTACATTTATGAGAGACTTATAAGTTATATTGATTGAATTGATGAAAAGGTTATGTTATTACCATTAGTCAGTAAAATCAATAAGTATACAGGGTGTTTCATGAGAAGACTCACATAGCCAAATGGTTAATAGGGGAAATCAAGACGAGTTGATGTATATATATGGAAACATTTTTTGACCCTCCATAACAATGATACAGGGTATTATGTGAAATTGCTATATAACTTTGATGGTCGATATTACAGAAATGATTCGTTGTAATCTGCTGAAATTTGGCAGCGACGTATCTCTTCTGAAACTATTCAAGATAACATATTATGAAAAAAAATATCCAGGTCTGGACTTGGGAAAATTTTATGTTTCATTGTTATGTCAAAAAAGTTCACTTTGTGACCACTTTTCTTGAAAAATTCCATCGGAATCAGAAAGATCAGACAAAATTCTATGGAAACTACTCTTCAGTTTACACGGCACACTTTGACCGATTCAATAAAAAAATATAGAACAAAATCGTTTGAATGAATTCTAAATTTCGACCTGGCTGATAACTGTCTACTCTGAACTGGTATCATGTGAATTGATTTTTTCTACATTTCTGTTGTATAGTAATTGACAGAAAGATAGACGAGATGAAAAAAACACGATATTTTTTATCGAAATTCCAGATAGATATTATTATTCCTGACTTGGTTTTATGGGTGTCGCTTATTGAAGTGAGATATCTAGTAGGTCCTGTTTCTCATTTGTGTGATGAGACGTGAAGTTTGTTGATAATCCGAACTGATAGGTAGGTACTAGGCTAGTACTAGGTATGTGCCCATATAATGGTGATTTATCAAATTAGTTATGCCATCACGCATAAACTTAGCTCCTTTTTTTGTTATTGACATACACTTCTGCAAGTCATATAAGGATGCATTTGCTATTTATTTAAAATTCCTAATGTTCATCCTCCTGAAGGTTTAACTGCAACGTATTCTTGGGTCTGGAAATATTCTATGGTATTAAACATAGCATAGCATTTAGATTTTAGTCTTCTTCAGCATTTTTACCTATCAACAAACGTCACGTTACATTAAATAAAAACAGGGCCCACTTTATAACAAATTTATAAAATAGAGTCACGAGTAATCATATCTATATAGGAGTTCGGTCAAAAACTAACATGTCAAATCATAAAAAAATCAGAACTAATCTCTTTTGTCAATTTCTATTCAATAAAAATGTATCAAAAAATCAATTCACACGAATCCAGTTAAAAGTTGAGAGTTATCAGCCAGGTCGAAATTGAAAATTCATTCGAACGATTTTGTTCCATATTTTTTTATTGAACCGGTCAAAGTGTGCCGTGTAAATTGAAGAGCAGTTCTTATAGCATTTTGTCTGATCTTTCTGAATCTGATGGAACTTTTCGAGAAAAGTGTCAGAAAGTGAACTTTTTTGACATAACAATGAAACATAAAATTTTCTCAAGTCCGGACCTGGATATTTTTTTTTATAATATGTTATCTTGAATAGTTTCAGTAGACATACGTCGCTGCCAAATTTGAGCAGATTACGACGAATCATTTCTGTAATATCGACCATCAAAGTTATATAGCAATTTCACATAATACCCTGTATCTTCGTTATGGAGGGTCAAAAAATGTTTTCATATATATACATCAACTCGTCTTGATTTCCCCTATTAACCATTTGGCTATGTGAGTCTTCTCATGAAACACCCTGTATAATAGGTAGGTCGATATTATCGTGGCAAAAGGGTGTCCCTATATATTTGTGTACCTATATTATACCTATCATTTTTTATAAGGAGTAACCTAGATACTCTAGGTATTGGTGTTTCATCAGGGTGATTCACCATAAATGACCCCTTCCCTCTAGATCAATTATTTTGAAACCGATGCCAAAATTTGAGGAATCTTTCGAAAAGCTATTTGATTTCTTTTCCGCTACATCGGAAAATTCAGGGTGTTCGAAACAAACGATCTACAGATTTTCCCTGGAAATAAACAGATACCAGAATCCTAAATCTTGAACCACCTTGTAATGTTCCAATTATGGTGAATCGAAAGTAAAGATTGGGACATAATAAGAGCAATAATGAATAGTTTAGACTCAAAAAAATCCTCGAGTTGAAAAATCTCGATTTTGAACACTCTTTATCTCTGTAATCATCCTCGCTAGATCCCAATTATGATGTATTGATTAAATCAGCTCTACAGGGAGAATCTAAAAATGCAATGGAATATACAAGGTATTCTATTAAAAAAAAATCTACTAGTACCCTAATGATCGTTTGTTCCGAGCAGCCTGTATTTTCTGATCTATCGGAGAAAAAATTTGAGGAATCATTCCAGATGATTTTTCAAATTCTGAAATCGGTTCACAAATAAGCTAGAGCAGGGGGGACATTCATGGTGAATCACCCTGTACCGCTTATTCAGACGTTAGAAATGTTATATGAATAATCGTTAACTTGCCAACTATGAAAAATACAATTCTTCTATAGTCAACTATTTTTCTAGTCCTGATTTCCATTATTTTCTTCATATGATTCATATATCAAAAATCGAATGTAATAAATTGATAAACCTTGTCTAGATGTGGACAACCAAAACAGCAAAGGTAAACAACTTGTGAATGATGGCGATGATGAAGTGTTTCTATTTTTAAATTCCTGATATCAGCTTCTGACATCATTGATATGGCATTTATATGCAATTCTTATTTGAACACCACAAGGACGTAGTAAGGCTTTGACGAAAATATCGTCAGTCATCAGTCGGTTATGGAAACATACGTAACAAGCGCGACTATTTCAAGATATCTTTCGATCTTGTCCAGTTTATGTAGTACATTGATTATGTGAAACATTTGAACGAAACACATTTTTTGATAACTATTATGTTCTATTTATTGGATATTAACCATGATCCGCACTTCCGTTGATAAAGAGGTAATACCTTAGATATTGTTTACTTATATTGTTACCGGCTTCTTGAATGAGGTGGGAAAAATTGCGGACCGGCAATTTCCAGAAAGCATTGTTATAACAAGTTTCTGATTCTTCTCTGGCATGCCCTCATTTCACTCACTCAACTTCAATTGATTATTGTGTGTTTTTACAAAAAAATTTGCAGGAGGTATTTTAGTAAGTTGAATCCTCTCAATTTTCACAAGAATCAATTCATCTCATGAAACTACACGATATGAAGTTGAATTATCTCATTTTCCACAAAAATTTATTCAATTGATGATATTACACGATAGATAATTACGAAATGTATTCTTTCATGAAATCGCTTTGATGAAATCTTGAGGAGGGGCTAATGGATCGGTATTTTTGCAAGTCAAATCATCTCAATTCCCACAAAAACCAGCATTCACAAACAAAAGGGGTGAATGAATGATCCTTTGTATTCAATACTCCAATAGTCCAATTGAGATCATTCCCCATATTATTGAGTATAATAAAAAAAATACTCGTGTATTTTAAAATTCTTCTTTATCTTCTCTAGGAGACAATTGATGATTGCGATGATTGTACTTGCAAAAAAACCGAGGGAGAAAGAACTACCCAAAATGTGTACACCATATTCAAATATCTGGTAATTGAAAAGTACTTAAAATACTTAAAACTGGGACTTGAGATACTGTTAACAGGTACTTAGATACTGAAGTACTTAAAACGAGACTTAAAAGCTCATTAAATTGTACTTAATGTATTGAAAATGATACTAAAAGTACTTAAAATTCCATGGTGTAGGTACACCTATTTAAAGAGTTGTTTCCCCTTTGAAAAAAACTTAGTTGATAATTATGTTTGTTGGAAATAGCCAGTCTACAGCATTTTTACTCTATGCCACAAATAAAATCCACCTTATTAAATATATATATATACATATAGAAGCAGAAGGGTAGTCTTTTGCTGACTAGTTGGTTAAAAACTCTTAAATTATTTGGGACTGCAGCAAAACGAAGGTGTACTCTTATAACATTATATTTCCAATATTTCGACAATGAATATTGTCATCATCAGGGAGCTACAATTTATGAAAATTTCTTTAAAAAGGCTCTGTAAAATTATCAGTAAAGTACTTACAATGTCAGTGAGAATGTAGAAGTAACTGTAACTGTACCAACTGTATACTACCTACATGTCCCACAAGCAGTAACAATTGACAAATGACTGACTTAGTGTCAATTGACAATTGTCATTGTTAACCTCAATA